GCTCAAGGCTAGCGCTCTACCACTTGAGCCACAGCGCCACTTCCAGCTTTTTTCTTTTTGCTTATGTGGTGCTGAGGAATTGAACCCCGTGCCTCAGGCATGCAAGGCAAGCGCTCTACCACTGAGCCACCTTCCCAGCCCCAAATCTAGCCTTTTTGTGCCATTCCTGGGTCTTAAACTGAAGGGCCTGGGTGCTGTCCTGAGCTTTTTTGCTCAAGGCTAGCACTCTACCACTTTTACCTTTTTGGTAGTTAATTGGAGCTAAGAGTCTCACAGACTTTCCTGCCTAGGCTGGTTTTAAACCGTGATCCTCAGATCTCAGCCTCCTGAGTAGCTAGGATTACAGGTGTGAGCCATTGGCATAGGCTTTCCATTCATTTGACAAACAACAGCTGAGGGTCTGCTTTGTAATAATGCTGAATACAAAGACCCGAAGGCAATTTGGGCAAAGGGAACTATACACTTAGATTGGAAGTGTAAGGACATAGACATTTAGGGAGCTCAGTGCAGTTTCCTGTGGCTAGAGTATGAGTGAGTGACCAAAGATGAGGTTGGCAAGGCAGAAAGACACAAGATCTTAAGGATTATATAGGCTAAGTGTAGTGGCTCACACCTGTAATTCCAGCTACTTGGGAGAATTGCAGTTCAAGACCAGCCCAGGCAAAAGTTAGTGAGACCCACTCCCCATCTCAATAATTCAGGCACAGTAGGCATGTATGGTTATATTTATGTGGGTAGTTACAGCCAGGCTGTAGGTAGGAGTATTGTGATCCAGGCAGGCCTGGGAAAAACTGCAAGACCTGAAATTGAAAGCAGAAAAGGAATAGCGTATGGCTCCATTAGTAGAGCACCTACCTAACAAGCATGAGGCCCTAAGTTCAGAACCACAATAACAACAACAAAATCATGTTAAAGAGTTTGCGCTTTGGGCTGGGAATGTGGCTTAGTGGTAGATTGCTTGCCTCGCATGCATGAAACCCTGGGTTCAATTCCTCAGTACACATACACAGAAAAAGCTGGAAATGGTGCTGTGGCTCAAGTGGTAGAGTGCTAGGCTTGGACAAAAGAGGCTCAAGGATAGTGCCCAGGTCCTGAGTTCAAGCCCCTGCACTGGCAAAAAAAAAAAAAAAAAACTTTAACATGATATTAAGTTATTGAAGGAGGAGGAAATTGACCTGAAGTCAGATTTGCACTTGTGCATAAAACTAGTGATTATAAGGGAGTGCCTTGTGGCGGTGGCTGAAGGAACTGTCTTAGCCTGCTAAGGAGGGACTTTTCAACAGGAGAAGACTCCAGGGGTGCTCTAGAGCTAAGTTCTGGGCTCCATCTATGTAGCATATCTTGGGAGAAATTCAGAGGTCTTTAACTAGAAGATATCCTAGTAATGATCAATAGGAGAAGCTGAGCCCCAGCATGGGTGGACAGTAGATTAGAGACCTAGAGCTAAGATTGAGTTCTAACATACTTTGATATCCTAACTTTGCTTCTTTTTGTACCACAGGATCCAGTGCTGCCTCCTTGTATCCTGTGCTCAACTTCCTACTCTATGTGCCTGAGCTTGTCCACTCCCCACTATACATTCAGAACAAAAATGGGGTTCCAATGCCTACAAACGCCTTCCACAGTCCCCGCTGGGGTGGCATTATGGTAATAGTCATACTTAGCAGGTCTGGAAGCTGAGTTTCAAGGATAGACATACTTTCCTGAAACTATTCCTACAGCTTTTCTCCTGAGTTGGGAAGGGGCAGGTATTTTCTGTGGTCCAGCCTAGGACCTGGGGTCAGGCCCTAACGGGGTGAGAGTGTGTTCTGTGCCCCTCCTCTGCTAACCCTTATCTTCTTTTCTTTAGTGTTTTTGGTGTTGACTTTTTTTTTTGGGGGGGGTGCCTGTACTGGGGCTTGAACTCAGAGCCTGGGTGCTGTCCTTTAGCTTTTTCACCCAAAGCTGGCACTCTACCACTTGAACCAGAGCTCTACTTGTGATTTTTTTAGTGTTAATCAGAGATAAAAGTCTCATAGAGTTTCCTGCCTAGGCTGGCTTTGAATTTCAATCCTCAGATTTCAGCCTCCTGACTAGCTAGGATTACAGGCATGAGCCATCGGTGCCCAACTTGTGTTGTGACCCTTTTATGCTTACCAGTTTGCACTTAGGCCAGCCCATAACACTATCTTAGTTCCATGGAAGTCTTGAAAGGTTAGGAACTCTCTCTCCCCTGTTAGACCAAAGCTTCTCATAGTGTGGGAACTATGTAATAGTTTATTTATTTATTTATTTACTTACTTATTGTGAGCCATGGGGCTTGAACTCTGGGCCTGGGTGCTGTCCCTCAGCTCTTCAGCTCGAGGCTAGCGCTGTGCCACTTCCGGTTTTCTGAGTAGTTTATTGGAGATAAGAGTCTCACAGACTTTCCTGCTGGGGCTGGCTTTGAACCTTGATCCTCAGATCTTAGCCTCCTGAGTAGCTAGGATTACAGACGTGAGCCACCGGCCCTCGGCTAATAGTATTATTTTTTTGTTTTTGTTCTTGTTTTTTTTTGGGTCCGGTCATGGGGCCTGAACTCTGGGCCTGGGCGCTGTCCCTTAGCTTTTCAGCTCAAGGCTAGCACTCTACCACTTGAGCCACAGTGCCACTTCCGGCTTTTTTCTTTTTGCTTACATGGTGCTGAGGAATCGAACCCAGGGCCTCTGGCATGCAAGGCATGCACTCTACCACTGAGCCACCTTCCCAGCCCCTAGTATTATTATTTTTTTAAAGCCTTTTTTATTCGTTTTTTTTTTCTTGGTCCTGGAGCTTAAATTCAGGGCCAGGGCTCTGACCCTGAGCCTCTCTGTGCTCAAGGCTAGCGCTGTACTGCTTGAGCCATTGCACCACTTCCAGCTTTTTCTGTTTATGTGGTACTGAGGAATCAAATCCAGCGCTCCATGCATGTTAGGCAAGTTACTCTACCACTAAGCCACATTCTCAGCCCAACCCTTTTATTTCCACAGAATTTTAAAAGCTTAATTGAGATAATTTACTGAAAGCACCTCATAGTAGGTACTTAAGAAAAGATTAGCAGCCAAGTGCTGCTTGTTAATGCCTGTAATCCTAGCTACTCTGGAGGCTGAGATCTAAGGATCGTAGCTCAAAGCCAGCTAAGGCAGGAAAGTCTGTGAGACTCTTCCCTCTAATTAACTACCAAAAAGCTAGAAATGGAGGGCTCACAGTGGTAGAGCACTAGCCTTGAGCATAAAAGCTTAGGGACAGTGTCCGGGCCCTCAGTTCAAGTCTCAGGACTGGCACCAAAGAAAACCCAAAACCAGTTATCTAGCAATGCTGTTGGTTTGTTGCTTCTAAGACCAGAAGACAACTTCCTTTTTTCTCATTATCCTCAGCATGCTAAGGGCAGAGCAGTGCATACTGGCACCAAAAAAAAAAACCCCAAAACCAGTTATCTAGCAATGCTGTTGGTTTGTTGCTTCTAAGACCAGAAGACAACTTCCTTTTTTCTCATTATCCTCAGCATGCTAAGGGCAGAGCAGTGCATACTGGCAAAAAAAAAAAAAAACCCAAAACCAGTTATCTAGCAATGCTGTTGGTTTGTTGCTTCTAAGACCAGAAGACAACTTCCTTTTCTCTCATTATCCTCAGCATGCTAAGGGGAGAGCAGTGCATGGTCTGGTGTGATAGTGTGGCAAACTGCATTTTCCCCTCTTTTCAGGTATATAATGTTGACCCTCAAACCTATAATGCCTCTGAGCTGCCAGTGAGAGTGGAGGTGGACATGGTACAAGTGATGGAAGTGTTCCTGGCTCAGTTGCGGTGAGGCCTTGGGTGATCCACGTGGAAAGTGTGGCTATAGTCTCTGCTCTCAAAAGTAAAAGAGGAGAATGATATCTCACTTGGTGGGGAGAGAGCCCCAGACAATCCAAAAAAAGGTTCCCAAAGATGGCTTCGAAGGAAAAGCAGCTAACAAAATCTTGTTTTCAGAAAAATAAACTTCCTGGAAGTGAGGTATCCAGGTGTGATTAGGACACTTCAGAAAACAGCTGAAACTGAGGGCTGAAAGCTCACCAACTGTAATCCTATTCAGAAGGCTGAGATCTGAGGATACTGGTTTGAAGCCAGCATAGGCAGAAAAGTCTGTGAGACTCTCGTGTGTATGTATGTGAGTGAGCTGATCCTGGAGGAGATTGATCTCGGGCCTGGGTACTGTCCCTGAGCTATTACTTTTATTTTTGGGGGTGCTTAAGGCTAGTGGTCTACCACTTGAGCTACAGCTCCGTTTCCTGCATTTTGGTGGTTAATTGGCGATAAGAGTCTCAGACTTTGCTGCCTGGGCTGGCTTTAAACCATGATCCTCAGATCTTAGCCTCCTGACTAGCTAGGATTACAGGCTTGAACCATCAGTAGCCAGCTATGAGACTCTCCTCTACAGTTTACCACCAAAAAAAAGTCAAAAGTGGGGGTATGGCTTAAGTAGTAATAGAGCACCATCCTTGAATAGAAAAAAGACTAAGGGACAGTGCCGAAGTGTCAAGTTCAAGCTGTAGTACCAGCTCCAAGAAAACAAAACAAAAAAAACAAAACCCAAAACCCAAAGCAGCTGTTGACTTCTGCTAACTGACTGGTTGAGTGTGGCTGCCTAAAGCTCTGTGATGAGGATTCTAAGACTGTGTCTGGATCGTCAGGAGAGAGTATTATGATGATTATCAATGTCTGTCATGGGTGCAGCCTTAGACAAGCACAGCACACATACCTTTTCAAAGGTGGTCTTGGATCATCCTTTAAGTCCTTTTGACCCCATGTATCTAAAGAGAGGCTGGAGAGAGAAGGGATTGAACTAAGTTGGTATTATCAGAAATATTTTAGCCATAGATGCTTTTTCAAGCAAGGCCTTGGAATTCTAACATAGGAGCAAGTAAAAACAGTAACACTGGTTGAAATGTGGTTTGGGGTTTCTGGATTACTAGGGTTGCTGCTTATCTACCATGAGTCCTATGGTTTTGGTAAGACTGAAAATCATTAGCTTAGAGTAGATTTTCTAGGAATCTTAAGCCATTGTCTCCCATATTCTGGTCACAGCAACTTTTGCTCTCTCTTGGCTGTTCCTACAGGCTGCTCTTTGGGATTGCTCAGCCCAAGGTGCCACCAAAATGTCTTCTTTCAGAGTTTAAGAGTGAAGGACTAATGACCTGGGAGCTAGACCGGCTGCTCTGGGCTCGGTCAGTGGAGAATCTGGCCACAGCCACCACCACCCTCACCTCCTTGGCTCAGCTTCTGGGCAAGATCAGCAACATTGTCATCAAGGATGATGTGGCATCTGAGGTGAGTGGGTAGAGGGTGGATGGATTCAGTGGCCTAGAATTAAAGTGGTCGGAGAGGACCAGGGTGAATATAGGCGTGCTGTCCTTAAATGCTTCGGCCTTCCTTAAGGTGTACTTACTGAGTTCCCCAGCAAGGGTCTACACGAGAGGGAATGAAGGTGCTAAGCTGACCCTCAGAAAGTGAACCACAGCCCTTATTAGACCCATTGACTTCCATATATCCTGGGTGGACTCCAGGCAATCCCCCTGCTAGATTGAAGGCATAGTAAAGTACAGTGCCCTCCCCACTGATGTATTAGATATATTAATGATCCCCTTCCCCTCCCTTTCCTAGGTGTATAAGGCTGTGGCTGCAGTCCAGAAGGCAGCAGAGGAGTTGGCCTCTGGGCACTTGTCATCTGCCTTTGTCGCCAGCCAAGAAGCAGTGACATCCTCTGAACGTGCCTTTTTTGATCCTTCACTCCTCCACCTCCTCTATTTCCCTGATGACCAGAAATTTGCCATCTACATCCCACTCTTCTTACCTATGGCTGTGCCCATCCTCCTGTCACTGGTCAAGATATTCCTGGAGACCCGGAAGTCCTGGAAAAAGCCTGAGAAGATAGACTGAGAGGGAAGCATCTTAGTAGAAAGCCTTCCTTTCTGGCCAGTGTGGGAGGTGGTGGGTTGAGAAGCATCTCAGTGAAGCCTGATGGGGATGACTTGTCTCCAGTCTCCTCTGTTGGTTCTCTGACAACACTCCAAGATGGGCTCATCCTTCTTCCCTTTCCTCAGGTTCTGGTCCTCTACTATCACTTCCAGAAGTCTCAGAAGACATCTGAGAGCTGGGTGCTGGTGACTCATGCCTATAATCTTAACTACTTAGGAAGCTGAGCTCTGAGGATTATGGTTCAAAGCCAGCCAGAGCATGAGTCTGTGAGACTCTTATCTCCAATTAACCACCAAAAAGGCCAGAAAGGGAGTTGTGGCCCAAGAGGTAGAGTGTTAGTCTTAAGCAAAAAAACCTCAGGACAGTGCCCTGGCCTATGAGTTCAAGCCCCAGGACTGGCACCAAAACAAAACAAAAAGTTATCTGGTTCTCCATATCTGGCTTGAACTTGCAGGCTCCTGGGAATCTCCCTCTGGAGTAGTGGAGTAGTGGTAGTCTCTCTTAGCATAGTTCACTTTTTTTTGGGAGGGGGTGGTGTCTTCAACTAAAGTCCTGCTTCTGTCTTTAGCTTTTTCACTCAAGGCTAGTGTTTGTACCACTTGAACCATAGCTTCACTTCTTTTTGCTGATTAATTGGAGAGAAGAGACTTGCTGGTTTGTCTGTTCAAGCTGATTTCAAACCTCCATTCTCAGGTCTCAGCCTCTTGAGTAGCTAGGATTACAGGTGTGAGCAACTGCCCATCTAGCATAGTATACTCTTGCCACCAAGACAGCATTAGAGGAAAGCCCTCAGTTAGATTGGAATCCCCACTACTCCCCATTTCTCTAATCTCCAGGAAAGGAAACCTCCTCTAACATTCTCGCTTACTCTCTTCCCTTCTGGCTGGCTTTACCTGTCAATTATAGCCTGAGTCTAGGAGGCAACAGCTCAGGACCTGGTGCTGTGTATGGCAGAGATTACCTTTACCCTGCAGAGAGGCAGTGTGATACTAAGGGGAAAGTTCCTGACTTGGAATTTAACAGTCCTGAATTCAAACCCTTGCTTTTGCACTGGGGAGTACTGGATAAGCCACTTACTGTCTCTGAGCCTTAGCTTTTCATTTGTTCATTGCACTGATGATGCCTCCTTCATAAGGTGGTTGTGAGGATTAAATGTGATAACCATGTGAAGTGTCTAGCATGCTAGGCTCTTTATATGTATATTGGGTTTTTAATAAACATTGGTTGAATATGAATTGAAGTGATATGCAGTAAGCGTATAACTTTTCATTCATTCATGTGTAAGTAATAACTGGTATCTGTCCTGTGCTCATTGGTCCACTATGTTCCATATGACCATATGTCATTCCTGTCTCAGTGTCCAGCAGGGCCCTGGCATGACCACATTGCTGGACTGCAGTCTCTACTTGTCTTGGATTGTCTAAGGCTGTTAGCATCTGCTTCTTTTATATACCCATCTGTTTTTATTTTTGTGCGGGTACTGGGGCTTGAACTTATTGCCTTGTGCTCTCAACTTGTGTGTGTGTGTGCTAGTCCTGCCACTTGAACTCAGCCTGAGCACTGTCCCTGAGATTTTCTGCTCAAGGCTACTACTCTACCACTTGAGCCACAACTCCACTTCCAGCTTTATCATAGTTAATTGAAGATTAGAGTCTAAAGAGTCTCATAGACTTTCCCACCAACCGATTTCATTCAGCTTTCTTGATCATGGCTGATGCTCTACCATTGAAGCCATGCCTTGTCTGGTGTTTGTTGATTATTGGCAATAGAATCTTCTAGGCTTTTCTTCTCCAGCTGACTTTGAACCTTGATCCTCAGATCTCATCTTCCTAATTAGGATTATAGGCATGAGACATAGCAAGCCATGGGCTGTCTTCTGCTTTTCAGCAGGGGTTATTGGAGAGAATGGTTTATGCTGGTGAAAGCTCTAATACTAATTCTAATACTAATTCATTCAGCTAAAAAAAATGTATTGAGTACTTGCTGCTGGGAGCAGTTGGGGTGTTTAAGAGTGTTGAGGTATTAAGAGAATAGAGCTGATCTTTCAGGGAGAAGAATCAGCGGGCAAATTAAAATTTGCACGGTGTGTTAGAAAAAGTCTAGACAGACTGAGGGAAAGAACTTCAGACTTGGTGGGTGTTGAGGGGAGGGACTTTGAGCAGATCTGACCTGCCCAGACCTGAAGAAGCACCAAAGGAAGGAGTTCCCAATGAACGCCCCTGAGGCTAAAAGCCCAGTGAGATTAGAGAAGAGGTAGTCAGGTCCTTCTTTTTTACCAAAAGAAATGGGGAGGAGGTGAAGCCAACTCCCGGACTTGAGGGATTTCTGTAGGTTTGGGCCCGCGGTGGGTGTGGCCACGGCTGGGCCCGCCCAGGGGGCGGGGCAGCACCTGG